GGCCTCCCAAAGTGTTGGGATTACAGGCGTGAGCCACTGCGCCCGGCCAACATAATTTCTAATAGCAAAATTGGTATTCAAACATTAAACGGAGGCATCTTGAGAAATTAAACATTTCTTTGAAGAAGAGTTAACATTGCTTGCCTCATTTCTGACCCACAGTTTTAACTACGTTTTTATGCATGGAACAGATTTCCAAGTGTGGAAATGAATTCTTTGACACGGACATAGACTTAGATTCATACAAGGACAGTGACCTCCACGTCCGTGAGCCTGTCTTATAAGCAGTGTGAATTGGGTGTCTCCAGGGTGCAGCGTCAGGGGTTATGCTACCAGACTGGGTGCCGGAGATGACGTGCAGATTCAGGAGAGGATCTGGGGCTCATGAGGAGATGACGTGCAGATTCAGGAGAGGATCCAGGGCTCTTGAGGATGTGAAAGTTTTGTTCCAAGCATTGGATTTTTGCTTGGCTTTTTCTGTGTAAACTTCTCTTTCACCTTCCATTCAGAATGGCTGCAAATTCTTTCTTCAATAGTGGAAGTATTATTGTTAGTCAGGATTTTCAATACTTAATAGGGGTCTGCATTTGTGGTGCATGTGGTATTTTGGTGCATGCATACCACGTGGAATGACCAGACCAGGGCAGCTGGGACATCAGTCACCCCAGACATCCACCCCTTTTTTACGTTGGGAACATTTCACTTCCTCTCTTCCAGCAATTTTGAACAATGCAACAAAGTCTTACTAGCTTTAAACACCCGACTGTACTATCAAACACTAGATCTTGCTTCACTAACTGTGTTTTTCTGCCCACACACACACATAAAGCAAGCCGGTGCATCATATAGGATTAACATACCCATATTTGATAAATTTCTTTGTTTCTACCTTTTCATGTTCATGCCTTCTGATACTGAAGAAATCTTATCCGGGAGATAGCGTGGGGCCGTAGAAATTGGCCAAGATTTCTAAGGCCCCATGCAGTCTCTCTGGATAAAACTTTGTCTAAGTGTTTCAGGAGGCTGCTCAAAGGAAATGTGGCTTGTTTTGGGAGGTCTGAAATGTTTTCAGATTTACTGTCTTGGAAAAAAGAAAAAAAAACCCAGACATATGGGATTTCTTCATGCAAAAATCCCATCACATGTGGCTGTTAAGATCAAGAAGATAGTTTCCCTGCAGGGCGTATTTTTTCCTTTTCTTCGTACCTACCCCAGAATAACTTTTCAGGTCCTCTGACAGAATGAAGCATTTTCCTTAGGAACTAACACAGAGAAAACAAGAAAATTAATAGAAATGGTTACTACTTTCTTATGCTGTTACCGAAGTCTGTTTCTGAGTGGTGACTATGTATTCTTTCAAAATAACTTCTTAGGGCATAAATATAACAATTTTCACTGAAGCAACAAAGTGCATTTTTGGTATTGGAGGCCTTCTCTCTTTTAATCCTCTTCCTAATAAGGTTATGGAGTTCATCTGGATGCCCCTAAGCCCTCTGGCTCTGGGGGAACCTGGACTGTATCATTGTGAATATTTATGGAGGCTGCACACGGAGCCCACAAAGAGACTTTTGTTGTTGTAATTGTGGAACTTAAGAGCAGTGTCCCTGTCTTAATGGCAGCCCCCAGTCACCAATCACATGCCTTTTGATAGGATACCTCTCCCGGTTAGGATCATGTTTTGTCTAGCAGGCTTAAGCTTCTTTTTAAAACAATCTCCTTAAAAGCTAAGGAGATTTCTCTTTTACAACGAATCGATTTTAGCAGGAATACCAGAATATATTTTGAAATTAAAAATCTTTTTGCCTGCTAACTAATCTCAGAATCTAGTTCAGCTATTAAAACAGACTGTTTACCCTATTAGTTATGCGACATATTGTACCAATTTTATCTAGGTCTCCAAAGGCCCCACACCTACCCCCCGGAGCCTCTAATCTTTGGCCTCTGTTGCAAACTGATCCTTGGGTACATCTGTTAGGCACGTGAGCCGTTCTGCTGAGGCAGGGTTTTTCAGATTAGACCAGTCCGTCAATGTTCAGGGGCCAGCACTCTCCAGGCCTTAGTGCCTTTGCATTGTTCCCTTGCTTTGGTTTACTCCACATTCTCTATTGAGCATCTCCCATACCAGGCTTTGGGCTGGACACGGGGGAACGGAGAGGAATAAATCCCAGGAGTAGCCCTAGGAGGCTCCTAGCCGACTACCGAAGACGAAACAGAAACAAGTCGTTATGACTCCGTGTAGGAAGTGCTCTGCTGAGGTTCAGAGTCCTGGGGACATATAGAGGGTCTCAGCAGTCCCAGCTTTGAGCCTTCAGGCACCTGTACCTCTAACGGGTTTAAGGAAGGCAGCACCGTCACAGACTGGAAAGACATCTGCCAAGGGCAATGCGGCAGAGACGGGGGTGGACAGGACTGGAAAAGGGCAGTGTGGCAGAGAGACGGGGGTGGACAGGACGGGAAGCCAGGACAGCGATTAGAAACCAATAGAGCGGTTCAGTCAAGAGACCTGGAGAGCTGGAGCTGTGGCAGGGACGGTGACGGTGGTGGCTGGAGCTGTGGCAGGGGCGGTGACGGCGGTGGCTGGAGCTGTGGCGGGACGGTGACGGCGGGTGGCTGGAGTGGGGGTGGGGCGGTGCCGGCGGTGGCTTTAGAGTTGGCACAGACGGTGACGGTGGTGGTGGGTTTGAGAGTAATGAATGGCCAAGGCATTCTTTAGAGTTGCCACAGATAAGACTTGGTTGACTGGTTGTGAAAGTTG